ACAGAATTATAATCATATGGTAGAAATAATTTTATATGCTGCTTTTTACATCTGATATATCAATTTCCCGTGTCATATAATCTCTGTAAAAATTTTTATTGACCAATATAATCACATGTCAAGCAAATACTCCATATTTAATGATGGACATTTAAGCTACTCTAAGTCTGCCACTGTGATTAAAGAACATTGCAAAATCTGTCTTTTCTCTATAAAGCTTTTCTGTATTTAGGCATATTTCCTAGAATATTCCCATAAGGGAATCATTAGGTGGAAGAGGTAGAAATCTTTCAAGGCTCTTGATGCACGTTGCCACTGTTTTCCAAAAGCACTGAAGAAAACTCTGTGCTCTACGCAGGTCGCGCGTCAGCTGATTCAAAGGGGAGTCAACAGGCAAAGGAAGATTATTTGGTAAAAAAGATCTTTCAGAAAACTCGTTGACTTACGTTCGGACTTTATGCCGACCAATGATGAAAGAAACCTTCCGGCTCCACGGGTTCACAAAGCCGGACCAGCTGGAATCCAATACGATGTAATCTCCATTTTGAGTACAAAATCTAATAGGTGAATGTTCAAAGGGAGGATGGCCTGCATACTTCAAGACTACATAAAATAATAAGACAAAATCACAATTTATTTAACACATTTATTAGAAATGTCTTTTTTTAGGCCTTTATTTGTAAATTTTTTAGAATGTCAAAATAGAAAAAGAAATTGTTTTAGCAGTTTCAATATATTGCTTACCTGGTTAAAGGTTAAGCTCTAATGATTAGAGCTTATGAGAAGCTCTAATAAGAAATGAAATAAAAAATTAGCACAGATGATAAAAAAATGACTGAAAAAAATTTCCTCCTATAAAGAAGTAGGTCCTTACCTTTCTGGTGTATGGCAACCATCAGAGAACGGTCCTCCGGGTGCAAATACATTAAGACAGATGTTCCAATCAGATCCTGAGGTAGGTAACCCAGCAAAGGCACGGCTCTGGGGCACAGACACACAGCACGAGCAGCGTGTTTTACGCATCAAGTAATTTTTACACTTTTTAAAAATACTTTTTTACTTAACTCTAAATATGAAAAAAGAAGTATGCAAAAGATGTTCATTACAGCATTTAGAAAAGCAACACACAATCTACGTGCCCACACTGTGGGGAAATAGTTACCTAACCTAAGAAAAGGTGGTCATCTGACACAGTCATCTACGGAACTTGCTAAAAAACAGATTCGCAGGCTCACTGCAAGCTAACAAAATCAGAATTTCTGGGGTAAGACAAGGAATCTATATTTTTAACCAGTTCCTCAGAGGTCTCTCCATTGTGCTGCCATTTAACCAGCCTACACAGATCACATCATAACATAGAACAATCTTATGATGTTAAATGAATACAGCAGGCTACAAATTTATACAGTGTCATTAAAATTATACAAAACCAATGACCCCAAAACATAATATTGACTAGACAAACAACCAGTACAAAAAGACACGTGCAGGATAAAGCTTCACAGGGAAACAGTGATGGCAAGACACTCAGGGCGACTCAGAAAGAACTGACTCCACAGACATTTTCTATGTGTACAAATTCACAAATATTTCCTAATGCAATAAATTTAAGCCATATGCAGAATACCTCTAGCTAAATTTTCTTACTGTCTACAGATTATATTATACAAAATAACTCACCAATTACTGCTTAGTTTCAGGGACACTATTATTAAATAAACTCATTTTCAGATGTTAAAATTTTTTAAAAATCAAAATTAATACCTCTCATAACTGCGCCAGGTTTTTGACATTTTTGCTTTACATTTATGTGTGGTATGGTGCACTGGTTCCCAGATTTCATGGGTAAGTAAAATTTTAAAATAAATATGGGGAAAAATGGAGGGTACTGATAAGCAGATAATGTTTTATTTTTCCAAATAAAGATACTAAAAAACAACAATAAGCAACAACTACTACCCATTATGACTATTCTTCAAATAAGAAAGACTATCTTAACACCAGAATATGTAGGAAGGACACAAGCTCAAAATAAACAACAATCCTTTAAATTAAATAAGTTTAGCTTTACCAAAAAAATAAAACCTCTCCTGATTTCTCTTTTTTTCTCCCCCTCACTTCGGACTAATAAAAATGTCATCATAACTGGTGTGGGAGCACTTGTTGAGTGGAAATAACACCGGATTAGCAGCTGGGAGGCCAGAGTCTCAGTCTCATGTTGAGTACAATCATAAAAACTATATACGCTCTTGGCAAATTGGCCCCCAGGTTCACTGTCCTCTTGTGTAAAATGGAACAATAATTCCTGACTTACCTAAAGCAGACTGGTGTGTAGTCAAATATGATAACTGATAAATCTCAGAAGTACAGCATGCAAGATATTTACACTAAAAAATTAGACAACACAAATTTCGAACTAACTAAAACCAAAGAGGCAAATGGAGAGAGGTCAGTTATGTAATGCAGAAGTATGTAAACATAATGTAACCTTTACATACTTTTATTTACTTTCAGGAACAAATGTCTTTTAAGCTTAAAAAAGTACCTACCTTTCCTCTATTTCAAGAAAAACACACCCTGGGGTGTGTGTTGTGGTAAAAATTCTTTTATCCACTGGGATTCGGGGAGCTACGAAGAACAGAAAGACTCATTTAAAGGCAAATATCTAATTAATCATCTACTTAACTAACCACTTAATACAATCTCTACATGAAATGGTAGAAATCTCACTTAGGGGCCTGGCCTTTGAGTAGCCAAAGCTACAGTTAAATGATGATAATTTTCATTATTAATTATATTTTAATTAGGTCAAAATGTGAAGCCTACTAAAAGTTAATTTTAAACAGAGAGAGAAAGTCTATGCACACTGATCAGCTTACTCATCAGAAATAATCCAACAGTCAAAGCTGGAGGAACTTCAGTTGAGGCCTGAAAAGCGCAGTCCTATTTAGTGGTTGTATATAACCAAGCACATAGGATTTGAAACGTCAGCCCAACGTGGACTTTTTAAGCTTGTGTAATAAAATTGGTGCTGTCAACAAGTTCTGCTATAGCGTGCTTTGAAAATCTGGGACTTGATACATGGTTTGAGCATCACACTAATTTTGCATTTGCTTATGTACAATTTCATCTGCAAGAAACCTGAGGTGCAGAAAACACCACCTAATTGAATGGAGTCACAGGAAGACACAAAAGCACGCACACCGGGGACGTCCACGGCTACCTCAGCCCACCGAGTGTGAGTGTCACGGACACGCTCGTCCAATCTGGTGCTAGAACTCTGTCTGCCTTCAGACAACCCTCCTTCCACCCCTCACAGTAACTCACATGCTGCGGCCCTTCCAACACCCACGTCCACAGCAAACTGCAGGGCTTTTCCACAGTGGGTGCTGTAATTGCAGCGTTCGTGTAATCCCAAATCATTTAACGTGTGCAAAACTGGGTTACCATTTTTATTAGATTCTCCTCTTACTTTTAATGTGTGTTAAGTTTTTGAGTGTCGTGCCCCTAATCTCATTTCTCCCATAAGCCCTATGTTTTTATCGTGTAATTTTTTTTGCATAGGATGATACTTTTTAGGAAAGCATATGTCATGTTACAGCAGCAGAACTGACTGTAATTCCAAGTAATAAATGGAAGCTGCTTCTGCACTGATACATGAATTTAGAAATGTGGTTCTGCCATCAGCAGATGTAAACTATACTTTTTACTCAGGGGGTTTCAAAACACTTTAAAAACATAAATTCATTCTTGTGACTTTTCTGTGCAATAACTGCAATGCTCTTATTTTACACAAGACAGAAGTAAAAGGCCACAGGACGGGTACCAGCAGAGAAAGGATTAGAGGACCAAGTATCTGTGGCCAAGTCTATGCTTAGACCCTTAGGCCGTGCTGTCCTTGAAGGAGAGACGGCACGAGAAGCTAAGGGCTGTAACCTGTGACCTCAGGAGACATCAGCTACAAACACCCCAGAGCTCAGGGCCACACTGAAGATCGAGCACTCTCTTCTGGTGCTGTGGCTGCGATCCACAGGCCTCTGCGGCCTCCCACTGCTGTGCTGACAGGTTACATCTGACCTAAAAGCAGACACTCCCAACTCACCTTCGTAGCCAGAGTGAATCTTCTCAACCAGCGTGAGACAGCAGGGCTCAGGTTCCAGGTGGGCAGAGCTGTGTACGTGAATCAAATAGGGGATGATCCGGAACGGGGAGGAATGCTTCTCTTGCCCTCTGTCTCCTCCTCCACTGAACAGAACAAAAATGATCAGTGCGCCCCGATGTGGTTCAGTAGCCCAACGTGAAACAGGCCGGGAAAAAGGTTTTATTGGTAATTTCCAAGAGAAATATATCCAAATCTAAAATGTTTAAACATATTTATTTTTAAAAGAAGGGAAACGTTAGTTTAAATTTTCAGTGACCCAGGGCAATTATACTCATTAGTTGCTCGCTGAATAAGAGGTTTTACGGAGAACCGGCTTAGATTACCGAAAGTGTAAAAATGGAACTAGTCATTCCGAGACTTCTCTCCTGACCTCCACGCCCTCAATTCCCAGTTTGACTTCCCGCTTCTGCTGTGAGGAGGGAAGGATAATTGCCCGTCTTGTCTCACTCGTCTAAACCAAGTACCGCACGACAGAAAATAGCGTCCCTGCGACCGGTGCCAGAGCCAGATCCCCGTCACCCCTTCCTGTCCTCTCGAGACTTCAAAGGCCTGACACAGTCTCGTGGCCTCAGTCACCAGCCTGACGGGCGCAGGGCCTCGGATGCAGTGGGCACTCCCTCGGGCACCCACTTGCCAAGCCTTGTGGAGCAGTGGCGCCGCGTTCCCGTTCTCACAACAGCTCGCCAGGTGGGGGTGGCTCTGATGGACCACCAGCAAGACTTTCGTCCTGCTCTAGCGCTCCACCTAAGCAGAGGACATGTCTACTCCGATATGCCACCAGCCCCTCCAAGTCAAATGTCCACGACTGAATTCATGCTCCCACATTCCCACCAATCCTGCCTCTCCTCTCCCACCACCGTTTAAATTCCTGACTACGCACACCCACCCCCCACCTGTGGGTCTTCAGCTGCTGAGAGGTTCTAGAGGCCACGCCCACTCCCGCTTCCCCTCTGCTTCCTCTTCTCTCCTCAGACTCCAGGATCTCCCCCCACTTCTCCACTCTCAACCGTGCCCCTGCTCCCTACTTCACTGAGAAAAGAGCACCATGCAGAAGAGCCTTCTCCTGAGGATGACCCACAGGCATCTGTACTTGTACCTCCTGCTCCCCTCCCGCGCCTGTGAATGATTTTTCCAGGCTCATCCAGCCCTCAGGTTCCCAATGCCGTTTACACGCTGATGACCTGAACGTCTGCCTCTAGCCTGCACTCCTCCCCGGAACTCCAGACCCATGTACCAATGCCTGATCAACATCACAACTTCCATTCCTAACAGACAGCGCAAGCTGAACTTGTCTAAACTAAGCAACATATTCTTCCCCTGCCCTCCCCACGAAGTTGCTTTCCTACAAGTTCCTCTACTCCAATAAACGGCAACTTGAGCCAAGGACCCTCCTGTCACCCTGACGCCTCTTCTTATTTCACACCCAGAACTAGTTCATTAATAAATTCTGGTAACTCTCCCTTCCAAAAATACCCAGAATATCCTAAATGCTTCTATGTCCACCACCACCACCCCGGTCCAGCTGCATCTCCTAATAGCCTGCTAATGGCGTCCCTGCTTCTCTCGCCCCTCCCCAGGGTCTTCAACACAGCACCTAACACGATCCTTTTATAACGTAAACTAGTTCTCCTTCTAAAAAATGACACTGTCCTATCTCTATCCACTGAAAACTCCTAGAAGCAATGATAACCCTGCAGCAACCACCACTCTGACCATACAGATTTGGTCCCCAAATGGTAACGCCGTTTCCCACCACCAAGAAAGAGGGATCCTTGAAGAAATGACTGACTCCGGGTCTGGGGTGGGAAATGTCTAGGTTGAGCCTGTGACAGCAAGTCTGAAACAAAAGCAGCTGTCACAAACGATAAGGGCACTCTCAACAGGGCACAGGAGCTGGCTCCAGGGGTTCCTGAGGGCCAAAGATGGGACAATTTGAGCATCATGATGCTTAACGAGAACCTCATCTTTTAGAATTACATTCTGAAATACCGATGGAGGAAATGACACGAGATCTGAGATGTGCTTCAAAATCATGGGGCGGGGCAGTTGAGGAGTAGGTGGTGGCACAGATGACCCCAGACTGGCTATGAGTTAAAGTCACTAAAGCTGAATGATAAGTACTTATCAGTTCACTGTACTGTTTTCTCTACTTTTTATATTATTTTGAAAATTACCAAAGTAAAGTTTTAAAAATAAATCAACGAGTAATCTGAACGGAACACTTCATTCTGAACTCAAAGCGCCCTACGGTTTGGCCCCTGCTTCCCCATCTTCTCCACCCTCACCCTGTCCCTCCACTCACACCACACTAGCGTCCTTGTTACTCCTCGCCAAGGCCAGGCATGTGCTGCCCCGGGGACTTTGCACTTGCCTGCAACACTCTTCCCTCAGATAGGTGTATGTCTGTTCCCTTACCTCCTTCAGGTCTCTGGCTCCAATTAGGCTTCTTATTAGAGAAGAGTTCCTTGACCACCCTGAATACAACAGTAATTTCTCCACAGCCCAGAATTCCTTCACCCGGCTTTATTGTTCTACACAGAACTTACCGCCAGCTGACACGTGTATTTAGATATCTGTTCATTATTGTTACTCCTCCCCTCCCCCCAAATGTGAGGTCCATGAGGGCAAGAACTCTGTTTTGATCCTAGCACCTTAACAGTGTCTGGCTCAAAAAGGCACCCAGAAATATTTATTAACATAGCAAACACACAGAGTACTTACTAGGCAGCATTCACCCGTGAATGACAATGAACCCACAGGCCCTCTCCCCTCCACACCTTTCCTCAGGTTGTCCCTCCAGGCATTCCAATACGATTAGCTCAAGTCCCCCCAGTTCCACGGTGTTTGACTAATCTACAACAAGGATCTTTCTCTTCTCTAAATACCTAGAGCACTTAGTAACTTCAATACTAATGTTGGCAATCACTACGTCATTTAAAAATATTTTTTCTTTTCATTGTGAAAGTAACATTAACATATCATAGTAAATTTAAAAGAGAAAAAAAATCACCATTAAATACTACCAGAAATCAACTACTATTAAAATTTTGGTCTCTTTTCTTCTAGTTCACTATCTTTGGACCTTTTAAATCCTTCTCATATATATACCTATCTTGCTTTCTTTAAAGTTATTCAAAATTTCAAAAATTAAATGTGACCAAAAACAAAAACAAAAAAGCCCAAACAATGGTTATTTGAAAGTGTACTTAACATCAGTGATTCTTCCACGCCCCTAGGTAAGAAGGATCTTTCTGATCTTTTTTCCTGTTGCGGTTTTACCTACTTTTTTCGAGTAAATGTTTCTTCTCCTCAATCAAAACACACACTTCCTGTGGCAAGAACCAAGTCTTGTCTTTTGTATCAACAACAGACCTAGCTGAATACAAAACAATCAAATAAAATCAGAGCATAATCCACCATTCTGGCCTCCACAAGCCCCTGTACTCACCGGATCCGGCAGAAGAAGGATTTCACTGGAGCGTATCCACACTGTGATGCTGCTGCAAACAGAGACACAGTGTCAATCGCCCCTCCTAGAGCAACACCGCAGAGCAGTTCCTCCCCAGTGAAACACGCCACACCATCACCAAACACAAGATAAACTATTTTTTAAGAGAGACAGATAGTCGTGATTAAAATAGGACCCTTCCCCCTTCACTTTGAGATCGGGTCACATGTGGTATTTTCCAGGGGCTTTTGTATTCTAACAGGGACCCTCAGGTAAGACAGTGTGAGCCTCTCATCGGGTCTTTCCCTTACTGCTTCCTACATCCCGTCTGTATTTCTCTAACTGCCCATACTCACTATGTCACACATCAATGTAATAAGCCTTTGACAATAATCCCATAATTATTTATAATTAAATAACAATCCCTCAGCAACTATTTTGGTGGCAATATTCTATTACACTATAACATCTGGACATGTCTCAAAAATTGGGAATTCAGACTACTTACTGCTTTTAGGCATATGATATGTAAATTTCTTTCATTTTTTTTTCTCTTTCCTTGGATAAATTCCCCACAGTTGTGTTCCTAGGTTAAATAACAACTCATCATGTACCGGCAGATGAATCTCCAGAAGACTGTCCCAGCTGACAGGGTCATTAATAACGCTTTCTCACAAACCTCATGCAAACAGTGTGCATCGATTTCATTGATTTTCTTATTAATTGTATTGATCTGAGAGGTGATAATTCAGAAATGTTTAAACATGCCTATCTTAGGGTAAATCAGGGCATTGACCCTTTCCCTGGTGTTGGCTGATGATCTGTATCTCCTCCGGGCAGGGTTCCCTGAACATATCTTCTGGGCCTTTGCTCAATGGTGCGAAAAGTCCTTGGTTACAGGAACCAAGGAAATGGTTAAAACCAATGAGATGTTTAAAAAAGTATACACTGAAGAAGCACAAACAACGAGAATTCTCAAGAACCCAAATACTGAGTATGGGCCAGGTCTTTGCACTTCTAAGGAAAGGGTCATAGGAAGAATCAGAAAACGGGCTTTGGAATGATCAAGGAAAAGGTACGTGATTTTAAAAAGATACTCCACTTTAAAAGTAAAGGGACCAATGATGAAACCATTAGAATTCATAAAACTATGAAAGTCACAGTCCCAGAATTCTGAAATCAGAAGACAATTCTTATAGCATGTCTGTGAGAAATTAATGAAAGAACAACTTGATAAAGCTTCAGGAATTAATTACCCTAAGACATGCTACAGTCTTGCCGTAGAAACTGCTACAGGAAAGGCTTAAACTCATGAAGGAATTAAGGCAATGTAAGGACGTCTCAAAAACATCCCTAACTTTCGGGATCATCTTCACGGACAGGAACCACACCTTGGTGCCACTTTCAAACGCACGCCTTTGTCCGATTACGGTTCTCCTGTTCTGAAGGGGCAGTCACAGGCAGCTGTGCAGTCAGAGGAGCCGGGGTTCAGAGCAGGGGCTCTGGGGTCACACTGCCAAGGGAAAGCCAGCTCCACACTTAGCGGCAGTGTGACCTTGGTGAGTCACTTAGCTCTGTGCCTCAGTGGCTGTGGCAGCTGAGAAGGGGCCCGGCTCCTGGCTTTAGGTGACATTACTGACTGCAGGCCGCAGCTGCACCCCTGAGCCCGGCTTCCTCCCGGCTGCTCCCAGCCCAGGGCTGTGCAGAGGGAGCCCTGAGGCAGGACCCCTCCTCCTGTGGAGACGCAGGCCTCCTCCAATGCATGACTGTGGCTTGAACTTCCCTTTGGCTGCCTGGCCAAGCTGCATGCAGGCCCTGACTCCTCCTCCCCAGTCCTCCTTGCTCCTCCTACAGGGGTCAGACCTGCACTGAGGGCTGCGGGCTCCTCTCACCTTCTCCTTCTCCCTCCCCCAGTAAGTCTCTTGTGCAGCTAATCCCATTTCGGCATTTGCTTCTCAGCAGACCCAAACCAACAGTTACCTTATCTGTCAGTTGGAAATAACGATGGTATCTACACCTCACAAGGTTTTTGTGAAGATCAGTTAATCTACTAAAACATTAAGAAGAGTCCCTGGCAAACAGTAACTGATCAACAGATGACAGCAATTAAGACGATCCTTCATGCTGTCAAATACTCCGAATAGCTAAAGTGCTTGCCCAACCGTTAGCCTGCTTGATGAGAGGCTGCTCAGAAACCATCACTCTTATTTTACAATGAGAAGCTAAGTGGCCTCCAAGGTTCATGAAGGGACAGAACTCAATTTAAAACTCAGACCTTCAGATTCCTAGCTTAAAATTCTTGGCACATAGAAAACCCTGCAACTCTACTGTGAGGTAAACCCGCTTACACTCTTTATGCACATCAGGCCCCTGAATTCCACTGCATTCAGTAGGAGTCGCATAACCCATGGAGCCAGACTGTGGGATCTCAAACAGCACACATGAGCCATTATCATTTCCACACCTAGGCTATACTGTGTGAATTCTCGTTGTTGGAAGTACGTTCTAAAGAAATAGTGGTCAGATCCTTCTGAGAGGTCTATACAACAAACGGAAGTTGAAACAGGCTCTAATGTAGGGCCAAAAGCTGACAAGTGCTGAGTTTACAGCTTCCTATGTCCTCTTAACGTTCTGTGAGCTCAAAAGGAAGGGACAGAGGGAGGGAACATGTGCACAGCCCCGACAGGGTGTGACCTAAAGCACAGCACTCAGGAAGAGTCTGAACGCTTGAGATTTATTATAAGACAAAAAGTACAACGTGAGGAGTAAACTAGATGGACATCATATCTTCATGGAATAAGTCAACTTTTAGGTCCAAAAGACAACAATTTCAGGACACATTATGTTTTTACATGTAGGAGAAATATCATAGTACTAAGTAATTAGCAAAGATAAAAGGGTTGAAAAACTAAAACAGAGACTATACAGGCAACATTGAAGGAAAAATACCTGGAGAAAAATGTGAAAGAGCCGGCAAACAATATTGTGTCAGTTCTGTTCCTAGTTGTATCTCAGCATCTAGAATAGTTCCTGGCCCATAGTGATTGTTGAATAAATGTTTACAAATGAATAAATAATTAATAAAAGCAGAGAAACAAATATGGACAATTAAAGGTTGAAAATATGTGTTTAGGAAAGAGAAGAGAAATGAACTCAATGTTTTTGAACGATGGGAACAGGAGAGAGGGAGCCAAAAGGAAGCAAGCATGATAGGTGTGTTTCCTAAAGCTTGTATGAAATGCGTACAAAAAACGGAGCAAAGGTCTATCACTGAAAAAAGGAAGCATGTAAGACTATTCTTCCCTGGATCAAGTGCTGGATTTAAAAATTAGAATGAGGGGCCTGCCTGGTGGCACAGGCAGTTGGGTGCACGCGCTCCGCTGTGGCCACCCAGGGTTCACCGGTTCGGATCCCGGGCGCGCACCGACGCACTCCTTGGCAAGCCATGCTGTGGTGGCGTCCCATATAAAGTGGAGGAAGATGGGCACGGATATTAGCCCAGGGCCAGTCTTCCTCAGCAAAAAAGGAGAAGGATTGGCAGATGTTAGCTCAGGGCCGATCTTCCTCACAAAAAAAAAAATGGAATGAGTACAGACCTTTAGACTGGAAAGATGAAAAAGTTCTGGAGAGCTGCTGCGCAACAATGTGAATGTACTTAACCCTACTGAATTGTGCACTTAACAATGGCTAAGATGGTACATTTTGTTAATGTGTTTTTGACCATAATAAAAAAAATTAAAGTAAAATTTAAAGAAAAATTAGAGAAAAGGGCTTGGAATCAAAAAGAAGGTTGGGGGCCAGCCCAGTGGTGCAGCGGTTGAGTTTGCGCAGCCCAAAGTTCGCTGGTTGGGATCTTGGGCGCAGACCTACTCACTGCTCATCAAGCCACGCTGAGGTGGAGTCCCACAGTGTACAATTAGGATATACAACTATGCACTGGAGGCTTTGGGGAGGAAAAAAGAAAAAAAATCATTAAAAAAAAAAAAAAGGTTGATCTATACTAACTTTACAAAGAATATGAAATAAGTAATAAAGGGTGACTTAAAAAAGAAGTAATGAATTATTTAAAGATCACACAGGACTGAATGTCACAAAGAAAACTGTGACAGGCACCCCACTTCAGGAAAATAAGCATTTCAGAAGAAAAACAAAGTAATGAGATTCACGAACTTTTAGGGACAAGAAAAACTGGAAAAGGGCGCTAACCATCAGAAGTTCATCTCCAAAGCAAAGAAAGAATGAAGTCAATATAAGAGGAAAGATATTTAATTTTATTAACTTAAAGGAAACAGAGCCTTTATAGCAATTAATCTGTCATACAGTAAGCTGGTAATCAAACTATATTTACGATATATAATCTGTGAAATTAACTTGACTAAATGAAAGCAAATTTACTGGATCTTTATTGGAAGCATTTAAAATGCTATTTTCATCACATTCTGTGCCTTTTTAAGTAAAGAAATAAGAAAAACCATATAGTTGGCATGTTCTAAATAATGCATTAATTTCTGTACTATTTCCGGAAGAATGAAACTGATCTTTACCAGACAAGATAAACATCTGAATATTGGTCCCCTTACCTCTTTGGGTCCAGTTGTTCCAGAAGGGAAGCTGAGCATGGGCAGTGTGTGTGTAGAACACCCTCACATCTTGAGGGGCAAGCAGCTCAACAAAATGAGAGGACTCCAAGAAATCTTTCCTACAATTCAGGATCGAAGCAGCCTGTTCAGAAATGTGCACGAACCTTCCAGACAGAAATGAAAAAACTGCCACAAAGGTATCCTATGGAAAACATTTAAAATAAATGCAAATACGGAGATACTTACTAGCAATATTTCCTGAAAGGCGAATTTCTTCTAGACTTCCGCCACCACCAATAGCTTAAAACACACACACACACATCCTGCAAAGGCAACAAAACTCTCCAACATACTTCTTGTCACCGTAAAACCAGCATTTTACATTCTGAAGGTTTGATTTCTTTTTTTTTTTTTTTTGTGAGGAAGATCAGCCCTGAGCTAACATCCGTGCTAATCCTCCTCTTTTCGCTGAGGAAGACCGGCTCTGAGCTAACATCTATTGCCAATCCTCCTCCTTTTTTTTTTTCCCCCAAAGCCCCAGTAGATAGTTGTATGTCATAGTTGCACATCCTTCTAGTTGCTGTATGTGGGACGCGGCCTCAGCATGGCTGGAGAAGCAGTGCGTCAGTGCGCGCCTGGGATCCGAACCTGGGCTGCCAGTAGCGGAGCGCATGCACTTAACCGCTAAGCCACGGGGCCAGCCCTGAAGGTTTGATTTCTACGCCAAAAAATACACCAGCTCATTGTACATTGACTAAACATGCAAACGGTATGTGTACTTCTGATCTCTCCTCCTCCGCTAACTGTGCCTTCCACCTGGAGAGACTGTCTTCTCTTCACCATGCTTCTACTAGGCTTCAAGACCAAGCTCAAGATTCACCTCCCTCAAGACGGTGTCTTTAACAAACCTCATTACATAACAATCATTTCTCTAATTTGTTCCACTAGACAGAGATGTGGCTTCTTTATAATCAGCCACTGTTTGGATCTGCTAACATTGGTGTATGTTTTCCTCTCTAGCTTTATTTTGAAGATCTTACAGGGGAAATGTTTTCTTAAACTTTTTTTTCCTTAAATCTCCATAGCACCTACTACAGTACTATGAACACACCAGTTAGTAAAATAAGCACTACTATAATATTAGGGATAGCTCATGTTCCAATATTATAAAATCTTTAAGTTATAATTATGTTGAGAGCTAAACATAAAATTAAGTAATCTCCATCCTATCAGCAAAACACGAGGTTTAATTATTCTGTCAACATGAAGAGATTCAAAAAAGATATACTAAGTGTCTCTTTCACATTTTACAAAAAATGACAGCATCTCAACTCACCTGTTCTATAAAATCCAGTTGTTACAACTTGAAGTCTTAGGTATTGGAACTAAGAATGGTATAAATAGAAATGAACATTTCAGAGATTAGAATAAGATGCAGGAAATTACTCTGCAGTGTTATTTTTTTCTCTTACTTTGACAGAACTCAGGGACGCTAAGGAGAGAGAGGCACCTCATAATCCAAGTAAAGCAAGCTACTACTGAAGCGCTGCTTCCTGTTTTTGGACATTTTCTCCCACGTACACAACGCCCACACAACGGGTCTTTACTAGTTTTCTCCTACTGTTTACCTCAAACTGTGGTTACTGAAACTCTGCTATTATTTTAAAAATAGACATCTAGATAAGGTCATTAGGAAAAATCACCCAGGTGGATATGGCAAAATTCACGGATTCTTACCGTGTTTTTGGAAGTGTGTTCTGAAGCAATAGTGGCCAGCTCTT